TAGAGTTTTTCAGACTGAGATGCAATTTGGTCCTTGTTGCCATTTCCAAAAGGCAAATGCCTTCTTAAGCATACCGAGAGTAACCAGATCGTAGCCTTCTGAAAGCATGTGACTCAACTAACTAACTTCAATGGCATCTCTGTGGTATTGTCTACAACTTATCTTCCCACTAACATTGGTTTCACTGACACACTCAAACTGTTGATGGTGTTTCTCATAAAACGATCCAAGGCTTCAATTTTATAATGTTTTTGATTTCTTCTAGATTCATGTAGGAGAAGGTACAGTATACAGAGATCAAGGCAAGGCACCTTTAATCTAGCAATTTGGTGGGCATATTACCAGAGGAAGCTGGGTAGAGATACATACTGGTGACATACATAGCACTGGACTTTGCATGCTGAGCTAAAATTAAAAATAAAGTTTTATAATATGTCCAGTTTTAAACGTTGTTTTAAAAACACCAGAAATATTAAACTATAATTTGTAACTACCCTTTGCACTGGTGCTGCAAAAAGGAACACAACAACATCCTTGCCCATGCTTTGCTAAGTATGTGTGGAATTCAGCCAAAAATAACAATGGCATTAAGTTCAGTTCCCTAAAAACAGGAAAGGATTATATTTGAAATGGACTTAGGTAGCGCAATTCTGGTTAGTCTTATCTCTTTTTTTTTGTTATTGGTGGTGGTTGTTTTTCAAATAATGAGGATTTAGTAGATGAAAAATGAGCCTTAATTCAGGCCTACAAGGCCTACAGAGTTCTTTTGACCCACTTTCCCAAAAATGAGTGGGTCTTGCTCGCTGGGCAAGGCAAATGTTACCATTACCAGTAAGCCTGTGATATGTATAAAACACACACACAAAAAGAAACTATAGGGGCATGTCAAACACTCTTCGGAAAACTTTCTATCATTGGGTGTGTTTGACAGTCTTCCGTCCACTTTGATGCCAACCTCAGGAGCACAGTATCTGTTACTAAGACTATTCACATTTAATCAATATTGTAAGTCAGAGACAACAACCTACTCTTTATAGATATAATTCGCAATAATAGATTTTTGAAGGCTTCCTGATTCCCTGATTGCTTTCAAAACTAAGCCACCGGCAACACTTAAGTTATAGAGAAACACAATCCCTGCAAAAGATCACAGACAGTGGAGCGAGCAGCCTTATAAAAAAGGGAAGAAGAGAAATCCATAATAGCACAGGTTTACAGCATCTAACTAGAAATTACTTGATTATTTGTGTGCTACAAAATAGAACTTAAACACATGGATTTTGCTGAAACTGGACTCAAAAAGGGATTATGGGTAGTTGTCAGCAGGCAAGGTATCAAGTGTACTTGTGAAGTATGTCATTCACATGAAGTGTCACAGTCACAGAAAAGATATTAAAAAGGCATTCCAATATCTGGTAGGGCATTCCACGGTCTGAGTTTAGCTGGTTTATCCAGGTGTCTTCTCATTGTGGGAGGAGCTACATGTTGAGATTTATCCGCTTGCAACAACTCAGTTCAGAGACAGCAGCAGGCAAGCGTTTCCCCTTGCCTCGAGCTGATCCGCGGACACTGCAGAGGGAAAGTCTGGCAAGGATAAATGGCTCAACTGTACTCAGGACTCAGTAAGTCACAACACCTGTGAGGATCTGGCTATGTGGTCTTACTCTTGGTAACTGGTTTGCCGCCATTCATTATTGCAGATGCACTTGTGCTTTTACTTGGAGTTACCCCAGCCTTTGGCACTGTTTCTCCAATATCATGCAAGGATGGTTCTCGGTACATGGCAACTAAGGGGAGAAAAGGAAAAGCAGAGACATTTTTAAGAAAAGAGATCTAAAATAGGATGGCTTTTCTACATTAATTTTCTATTTTCTTTTCTGTAAGATTCTGAAAGTCAAACACACTGAGGCAACGTAGATTGACTTTTATGAATGGTATTATATTATAAAATTGCCTAGACTTAAGCATTCTCTCATGGGCTGACACTCCATGGCCAGGCTCGGGCCCAACTCTGCTCTGGCATTTGTACCTCTGATTCAGGAACCTCAGGAGCTTGGCCATGACCTCTTCCAGTCTATGCTGACTAAATGTACGGGACAGTCCTGCAAAGGGTACACAAATGGTTGGGGTTTTTTCTTCCTTCTATCCAAAATTTCCCTCAGCAGCCATTAATCTCCACCGAATTCAGAAGTGCATAAAAGTCCAATTTAACCTATTAACTGAATTCTTGGAGGAATTAAAAGTTTGCCCCTGGCCTTCAGTCCCTAACTAACCAGTTTAAATCCTTTGAGGAAAATACATGTGTTCAATTACACGGTTCCAGCATTAAGCTGCCTTAATGATTAATGCTCTTGGATAATTCAATTTCATTTTCCATGTCACTGGCTCAGGTAATATTTCCACTTATATCTAACTTCAGTAGCATTTATTTATATCAGAGTAATGTTAAAAGAGATGTCAAAGCCATCAGAAGAATTAATCATCACACTATGATTTTGGGGATGGCTGCGTGCTGCCACAGAGAGCACAATCCCTTCATCCCTTGGCTAATTAGAGTAGGAGGCAGGAGCATCAAAGTACTGACCTTGATCTTCAGTGGTGTGAAGTTTCATAATAAATACAAAGCGCCCCAAAGCATCATTAACTAATCAAATACTTAACTTGTTCTAACATTTCCAGTGACATACTCTAAATCCTTTTATGGCTTCTGAAGGTCTGAAATTAAATGTCTTCTCTAGAGTACATGAGGCTGGCTATGATCTATGTCTTCAAAGTGAACCCCCCATAACTGGGCCTAGGACACTTCTCTTTGCTGATTAACTAAAGAGCATGATGAAATGCTGCTTAATTAAAGAGCATGATAAAATAATACCATGACCCACAAAAATATTGCATGAGACAGATCTATAAGGTAGAGAATTACATAGCAGAGCTGTAATATTTGCTGACTCTTGTGGACGATATAAAGCAACTTATTTCTAAGCCTGGGTCTGACCATCAAGGTCTAAGAGTCCGATCATCAAAAACTTTAATAGGCACTTTTTCCTAATCCATTGGAATTGATGTTGCTTTTAAAAATGCACTGTCTCCCACACAAATTGCTAAAATTTAATATAAAGCAATTGACATATAAACTGCAGATATTGTCAAGAGCTCTTGAAAATTTTAAGACTTCTGCAAAGCAAAAGAAGCAAAACAGCTTCAACCTGAGCTCAAATATGAAGTTAAAAAAAGGACTCCTCAAATGCTTTCTTCACAGTGAACCTCTAAAACATTTAACAAACTGATCCTTAAGATCAAAAATCTTTAAAGTTAAAAGACTGCAAGAAATACAGGGTAATGCTAATTAAAGCATTACTCAGGTGTGTGTTTTAGAGATGTTAACTAATGAGACAATTTTCAGAATGACTGAGGCTACGTGTAGCAATAAACTGAATGAAATGTCACCAAGACAAGAAACAAAAAGCAGCAGAGGTAAAAGAAGAAAAAAAAAGCTTGTAGAATATATAAGATAAATCAAGTTACATTGCTAAGATTGAGAGTGGGTGACATCATTGTAATGCGTAAGGTTAGTATGACTTTTATTTGCTTCTGCTTTGGTTTAGAGGCCAATTTACAGAAGATATGTGTGTTACACCAACTGACTAAGTAATACAGTCTGATTTATTTTATAAACAGACCTTTGTGTTTTGTGCTAGAAAGCTCTTATTTTTGAATGCTGGCATTTCCTCCATTCCATTTATAACTTCAATTATCCTGCAATATCCATTATTTCACTCTGCTTAATGAAAGGAGAGTTTCTTACTGCAAGACTTCCAACATGTTTGCCCCTACCAAGAGATTATTTTAAAAACAGCACAATGCGCTTCAACAAAAGATTTCTTTTCTTGTAAGAAAATGACCTCTTAATCCCTTGAAAGAATGTTTTTACATATGCCCTTTCTGGCATTACGATGCTGAAGCACAAAGCCACACCATGAATCCTGGGAACTGTCACTTGGAATGGCTCCTGCGCATGGCACGCGCATTCAGAAATGGTATTTGAGAAATCGTTCCCTCTTCATTTTGTGATATTTATAACAGGACCTTAACATTTTAGTGCATCTGGCAGTGACAGACTGGGCCTCACCTTCCAATGGCTTGGGTAGAAAATGAGCTGCTGGTTTTGTTTTCTTCACTCTGTTTCCTTTCATGACTTGCCCTTCCTTGTTCAGCCCCAAGAACCAGGCCCTACCAGATTCCTGTTGTCTGTAGAGCATGGATGAGTAGATTACATAATAATTTTCAAAAACAGACTCCTTAAATTTGCACTCCGGTGTAAAAAGTTCCTGTGGGGAAAGGAAAAAAATATATATTAAATAGTATCTCAAAAGTTTTATTTCTGTTTTATTAACTCACAAATACATTTTGCTCAGTTTAATATATGACCTGTAATAATGTACTGCTTTGAGAACAGATCAGTCTTCCTCTAGATGACCTCCAAGTGAAGTTATTTTACCTACCATGGAGAGCTCCATTTTCCCACTTGTGAAACAGGGTTGGGATATTTTCAAATTACAGAAGCAATACAGGAAAAATAAAAAATATAGGTATAATTATTACTGTGTTTATTTTCTGCAAGGAGATCCTTTTAAAGATTAAGAAAGTCTATGTCAAAATGGCACTGAAGACAAAGCAATTCTTCATTTTTAACATACTTGGCAGGTTTAATAAATGCAGCAAAGTCCTCCTATGCCTAATAACAACTCATATTTGACACTGAAATACTGCTGTTACTGACATATTAAAAAAATAAATCCTAGAGTTGACAAGGCCTGAGACACCCCAGGAAAACACCATTCTGATGAACAAATTTCCATACTACGAAACTTTCAAGAGTTAAGGTCAGTGACAGTCAGTTGTCCTGAACTCTTTACTCTTATTAACTTAAGCACAAACTTCTAGAACATAGTAACCAATAGTAGAGTAATAAAAATAATGTCAACAGAATTTAATAAAATCTGTTTAAAAAAAATCAGGTGAATAAGCCAATTATCAGGTCAATAAGCCAATAAAATCAGATTGAAAATGCCATTAAAAAAAAAAAAAAGGATTCTGTGTGAATATAGGGTAACAATTTTCAGACTTTGGACAGGTCTCCAGAAACCTATGGGATATGTTCCCATCACAGGAAGAAAGGGATACAAATGTGGAAGTAGAAGGAGGCTTGCTAATCTTTCAGAGCATAAACTTCTTAGTCCTGAATTCTCTTCTCCAATATTTGCATTTCTTTTGATTGTGCTTCCCAAGAACTTGCCCTTCCCAAGTTCTGGGGAGGCCAAACATTTTCTCTTGTCCATTCACTGCATTCTTTTTCTCATTTCTTTTTGCTCCTGATCCAAGGCAATCCTGAGTTAACACTAGGCAGGTTGTTCCAGAACCAGCTGTTGACTTGTTATAAGAAGTTCACAGCTGTTCTTGACATGGCAGATCTTCTTTTGGGAAATCCAGTCTCATAAGGACACAGTACCCCATTCTGGAAAGCACAGAGGAAGTATTTTTCTGAATTTAGACAGCACAAAAACTTGAGCAAGGGTTGCAGAACCAAGTGCTCTTTTACTATTACTATGGAGTAGGACATTTGTTTTGCAGCAGCTTAATTTGTCACCTGTAAGTAAAACTGTCTTAATTGATGCCATGCACACTATTAACTTGATCAGTTGTGAAGTAGCTTTTAACTTCAATTAGAAAGGATTAATATATTTTATCCAACAACCAACTAAAAGCAGCCACATAATATTTTGTTAACTTACCTGAAAATAGGTTGCTTGCTTTATTTGAGTAAACATACAAGTCGCAGTACTTTACCAGATGCAAAAAAAGATTCTCTGACATATGTTAAGCACCATCTTTCTGCACTACCAGATCTTTACCACCTATGTGCACAACTAAATTTGCATGCAGATGACAAAATGCAAAGATAATCTGTACTAGAGTCACCAAAAACTGATAGGAAATATCTGAGCCCTATCCTCTCTGTCGTCACAAGGCTTTTTCTCTCACCCTTCCAAAATTTTGAGATGTGTCCTATTTGTGTTGCTCTCTGTTCTCCTTCAGCAATTTCAAACCACTAAAGAGCTCAGTAAGAATCAAAATAAACCCAAATGGGAGGACTGTGTGCTAGAAGGAATGCCTGTGAAACACCAGCATGACCATTTATATATTTGTGTCATGTTTCTGGAGTGTTGAAACAACAGATGCCAATCAGGAAATGCCTACACAAATCTCCTCACTACCTGTTTCACTACAAATTCTACCTACTTTGTTCACCAGCAGGGTTTTCTTCCCTGTAAAGCCCAATAAGCAGTCCTGCTGAAGCATTACTCTCTTTTTGCTATAAACAAAAGCCATTTGTCATTAATGCTGCCCATAAACTGTATATGTGCGTTTGCCCAAACAATATCCACTGGAATAATTAAATAAGAGTCCTTAGAAGCGGCATCATATTCCATCTCGGAACCAGCCCTTCCCTCCCCTCATGTCTTTCATACGTACAGTAGTTTTTTGGACAGTGCACAGCATCAGAAGCTTTAGGTAGGTACTTTAGCATGTCAAGAAAAATGGATTATGACAACACAGCTACTTGGCTCCTCCTGGATGCAGACCAATAGAGTGGGCAAACTGGTGCTACTACAGTTTCTGAGTTATACAAGCACAGCAATAATCTGCTATTTTTGGCATAAGTAGAAGAGCCAAAATTGAACCACTGTATTCCTCTGCAAAATATTTCAGCTATTCTTCTGCTCCAGATGTCTTGACTGTACCAGTACTTTGCACATGGCTTTTTATCCACCCAGTGTATTAGGATGCAATCCTAATTCCAATCTGCCTTGGCTAATCACTCTGTCAAAAAAGTCACTTAAATATATGCCTACGTTAAAACATGCTAGTATGGATCCACTGATGTAGAAAAAGAGCATTCATGAATGAAGATTCACACCTGATTCACACCTATACTGAACTGCAGCTATCCATTCCTCTGAGGAAAGAACTACCTAGGAGGGGGCTTCCAAAACAGGCTTCTCTGTGGGGCCCGGGTAGATGCTGAATATTTCTAAGATGAGAAGTGACTCCTAAAATCTTGTCTCAGGCAGCATATCAACTGGCTGAGAAAGCTGTAAAAGCACTTATAGTAAAGCAGCCACAGCACCTAAAAAAAACATTTGTGGGAGGGAAAGGCAGGACAATGGCATTTTTTTTTTAAGAAGCATCCAATGGTGTGGGCACTGCCCTAGACAGGTGCCTTCTAATGCAACCTGGAGGAAACTAAATCTGCCCTTGATAGCCAGGAATCATTTAGACTCTCCTTCAAAAAAATAATTTTGGGGCTTTGATCCCAGAACTGCCTTTGCATTTTACAGACTCAGTGAATAAAGTGCAAAAGTAGACATGACATGCAAACAAGGACTTGAGTGCAGGACTTTTTTCTTCCAAAATCAGTATCCAAATTTAATCAGTTTTTCTATATAAACAGTGGGGTTCTGCCAATGCAACATTTTAGAAATAACGTATATGCCAACTGCCCATTTCAAAAAACCCCAGGAGGGGGGTTTGGCTGTAAATTGCAATCTGATACAGCTTCCCGTGTCCTGTCGAAGTGGAGGATGTTTTAAATTGCACCTTGCTGTGAAGAATTTTCACTGGGATATTTTTGCTAACTTCCCATCAGCCTTTTCCTCGATGAGTCCTGTTTGGAGAGGTTTTAATTCTCCTAGTTGCTGTAAAGTTAATAAGCACCACAACACACAAGTTCTGGGTTCCCCTCATGGAACCAAAAAGTTTTGCCCTTAGAGAGTACTTAGTTTTGGGATCTCCCCCATCCAGTGTTGCCAGATCTTAATATTTTACTATTATCTCAGGGTAGATGAAGTGTTAACTCATGGAGTCATGTGGCGATCTCAGGATCTGGTTCAATTTTAGAACAAAGAATAAATAACATTTAGAAAGAGACATTCTCTCTGTGTCAAATGTAGGATTGCCTGAACCAATAGCTCAGGTTACTGGTGTTTTCTGCATTGTTATATAAAGATTGGCAAAAGGCAATTGAGAAGACAGTTGAGATAAATCCCCTACCAGGGCGGGTTCAGGCTAAAGACTGACTGGATGAAGCTAGGCATCCATGCAAATCAAGTATATAATATTCTCTAGCAAAAGGCTATAGCTCAAACTTAAACCACAGCACACTTTACACTTACTAGTCCCAAAATCGTTGAGCAAATAAAAATATCTGAACAAGATATTGGCTAGTTTGCATGTTCACTTTAGCTAGCATTAATAAAGTTACACATATCCATTTTCAGTCATTGTCTTTCACTTAAAAATACCACAAAGCATGGAGCTTTTCTATTACAGCATTCAGATAGAAGAAATTTACAGCTGTGGAGTAAACACCTACTCTGCCAGTCACAGAGCTGCAATTGTTAAATCTTGCATGATAAGACAGCTAACCATAGAGCTTCTATATTATTTTAAAATTACATGAACACCTCCTGCAAGTTTAGACTATGTCTTTGTTTAATAATTAATCAATAATGAATTTTAGACTAAATCTTTGCTTAAGAATAAATTGATAATAAACTCTTGGGGCTAATCAATAATGTTCCTAAGCAAATCATGAGGGACTGCATAAGGACAGGTCTCCTCCAAGGTCATTAAAAAAGCTCTAAGGACAGATGTGTTTACAGAAGTTGCCTGCCTTCTGCCCCTGTGCCTCCAAATCTGTTTAAATTTGCTTTTTATTCTGCTATATAGGAAATTAGAGTATCCTTCTAGTTACAGCTCTCAGAAGTGATATAGCTAACAGTCACCCTCTTGAATTGTAGTCAGAAGCAAGGAAAAAGGAGCCCGTGGAATCCTCCGGGGATGAGGATAACACGTCTTGCTCATCACACCACGCAGCAGAAGCGCAGCTGCAGCCCCAGCGAGCTAGTGCGTCTCAGCAGTGCCAAGCAGAACACACAACAGTGAGACAAATTCAAAGAGGCTGCCAAGCAAGGAAGAGTCAGTTTGACCAATAACAGTAAAAACAGAGCTGGTTACCAGGCCTCATCAGAACGCAAGACCAGCTGAAAAGCTTAAAGAATTCTATTTTAATACTATTTATTATTTGCACTTAGGAATCCTTTCACAGAACATGAGATCACTGCTTTAGAATAGGGGCCAACTGGCATCTCCCTAATGTGATCACCTTGCAATCTGCACAGAGACAGGGATACAGGGTATAAAGAAGATATTAGGCACATCTAAGCAATGGTCTCAGTGCATTACTAGCTGGTTATTTGTTTATTTATTTATTTAT